GTAATCCCCCTTATGTATGCTGGGAGGCAGTTGAACAGGTCTCGGGTCCCCTGACACTTTTTGTTTTGGTCTCTTAAACGTGCTAGTGACACCCCTGTTTTCCATTGGGGGATGTTCATCGTCTGCCAAGTCTTTTGCTTTTCGTAGGTGAGTGATTTTCGTGTGCAAGTTTGGTACTAGTCCCTCTTGGATTTTCCGGTGTATATTATCATGTATCTCTCCCGCCTGCGTCCAGGGAATACAGGTTCAGGAACCTTCAAGCGCCCAGTAATTGAGGTGTTTATTCCGATATGCGCGCCGTGAAGGTTCTTGTGATTTTCTAGGTCAGCATTTCATGCCTTGAAAGGAGCTGTACCTTATCTACTAATACATCAATAACTCACAAATATACATAATACTATAAAAATTTACTTAATTAAAATATTTAACAACTCACATACAAAAATCTCTCAATTCATACCCCATAACATTTAATCCTTATCTACATCCATCACATTAAATTAATTATAAATAACAAAATAAACCCAAAAAAAAAAAACCAAAAAAAACCCAAAAAACCCCCCAAAAAAAAACATATAACAAACTAATATAAAATATAAAAAAAAAATAAAGTGAAAAAAAAAAAATAATTATATAATATAATATAAATAGAAAAAAAACAATAAAGAAATAATAAAAAAAAGAAAAAAAAAAAAAACACCCCCCCCCCCCCCCCCACAAATAATATTATATATATTTTTTTTTTGTCTTATTTTTTTTTTTTCTATTTTTTTTTTTTCCCCCCCCCCCCCCCCCCCCCCCCCCCCCCCCCCACAATTTTTTTTTTGTTTCAATTGTCTTTTTTTTTTTTCCCCCCCCCCCCCTCATTGTTTTTTTTCTCCTATTGGCCAGAAATTTGTTTTGTACTCTGATGAAGAATTTAATTTCCTCGTGTTTACCATTATCTGAGTAATTGAAATTTCTATCGTTGAACTTCATTTTTGTTTTCTGCAGCCCACTAGAAAGATTTGGTTGATGTCGCCCTGGTGCTTGCAGTCGTCTGCAATGGAAGACAAGTTCATGCAGATTCGGGTGTCATCTGCAAAGGAGACACGGTGCTGTGGCTGAATCTTTGTCTATGGTCAGATATGAGATGAGGAACAAGATGGGAGCGAGTTACTGTGCCTTGTGGAACAGTGCTTTTCACGTGCCTGCCTCGGGTTGCTCTGTTGACTACTACTCTCTGTGTTCTGTTAGTGAGGAAATTATAGATCCATCGACCGACTTTTCCTGTTATTCCTTTAGCACGCATTTTGTGCGCTATTACACCATGGTCACACTTGTCGAAGGCTTTTGCAAAGTCTGTATATATTACATCTGCATTCTTTTTGTCTTCTAGTGCATCTAGGACCTTGTCGTAGTGATCCAATAGTTGAGACAGACAGGAGCGACCTGTTCTAAACCCATGTTGCCCTGGGTTGTGTAATTGATGGGTTTCTAGATGGGTGATCTTGCTTCTTAGGACTCTTTCAAAGATTTTTATGATATGGGATGTTAGTGCTATCGGTCTGTAGTTCTTTGCTGTTGCTTTACTGCCCCCTTTGTGGAGTGGGGTATGTCTGTTGTTTTTAGTAACTGTGGGACGACCCCCGTGTCCATGCTCCCTCTCCATAGGATGGTAAAGGCTCGTGATAGGGGCTTCTTGCAGTTCTTGATGAACACGGAGTTCCATGAGTCTGGCCCTGGGGCAGAGTGCATGGGCATGTCATTTATCGCCTGTTCGAAGTCATTTGGCGTCAGGATAACATCAGATAGGCTTGTGTTAACCAAATTCTGTGGCTCTCTCATAAAAAATTCATTTTGATATTCGACTCTCAGTCTGGTTAGTGGCTTGCTAAAAACTGAGTCATATTGGGACTTGAGTAGCTCACTCATTTCCTTGCTGTCATCTGTGTAGGACCCATCTTGTTTAAGTAAGGGCCCAATACTGGACGTTGTTCTTGACTTTGATTTGGCATAGGAGAAGAAATACTTTGGGTTTCTTTCGATTTCATTTATGGCTTTTAGTTCTTCCCGCGATTCCTGACTCCTATAAGATTCCTTTAGCTTAAGTTCGATGTTTGCTATTTCTCTGACCAGTGTCTCCCTACGCATTTCAGATAGATTGACCTCTTTTAGCCGCTCTGTTATTCTTTTCCGTTGCCTGTAAAGGGAGCGCCTGTCTCTTTCTATTTTACATCTACTCCTCCTTTTTCTTAGAGGAATAAGTCTTGTGCATACATCGAGTGCCACCAAGTTAATCTGTTCTAGGCATAAGTTGGGGTCTGTGTTGCTTAGTATATCTTCCCAGCTTATATCGGTTAGGACTTGGTTTACTTGGTCCTCACCTATGCTATTTGTGCTTGGGGATCAACTGCAGCAACACACCTAAAGCCAATAATAACCCAACAAAAAGCTGCAGTAAGAATAATCACTAAACCCCATCCCTGGCAGCACACCCCCCCACTCTTCAAAGATCTAAACTTACTCCCAGTTCAGTACATCCACACTTACTACTGTGCAATCTATATCTACAGGGCCTTAAACTCTAATATCAACCTTGACCTAAAACGCTTTCTTGATAGTTGTGACAGAACCCACAGGCATAACACCAGAAACAAACATCTCTACGACATTCCCCGTGTCCGACTAAACCTTTACAAAAATTCAATGTATGTCAAAGGCCCTAAAATCTGGAATACCCTACCTGAGAACTCTAGAACTGCAGACACATTTATCACCTTCAAAACTACCATTAGAAAACATCTTATCTCCCTGATACACCCCGTCAACTAACTACACGAATGCCACCTGGTGGTTCACACTTACACTCACTCACCCATTTGACCATAAACAGAAATATTAATCTCAGTCTTAAAATAATGAATCCTGTGATACTCCAATACTGAAACTATGTACTGTGCCAAAACAAAAGCATTCACATTGCTAAACTCACAAACTAGTATTTAGTCACTTAGCCATAATACCAACTTACCTCATAATTTGTAATATTTTTCAATTAGGAATAAAACTAAGTATGCCCGAAATGCCTAGCCATGCTAAGCGTTCTAGTGGTACACTCTGTAATCACAATTTTACTACATGTAAACCAAACAATAACCAAATTTCTGTAAACTCAGCATTGTAATCCTTATAGAGAATAAACTTTGAATTTGAATTTGAATTTGAATGCTCCCTCGTGACTAATCTCATTTTGTCGGTCTGGGGCTCTGCGCATACATGTCTGAAACCTCAATTATGTTGTGATCTGAGTATATTGTTTTTGATATGGTGACATTTCTTATCAGATCATCATTGTTAGTGAAGATGAGGTCTAGTGTATTCTCCATTCTAGTAGGCTCTAGTATTTGCAATGTTTCTACCCTGGCTGGGAAGATAGTGAGATATTATATCCTTTATAGTATAATAATAAGGTAATAAAAGGACTATAATGGAAATAAGTCACTGACTTTTTTTGGATTATCCTAGGTTCTCTACACATATGCTGCTGTGAATGATAGATCTATGTAGCTGTACCCTCAAGGAAGGTTCCTTGATGTTGGTGAGGGGCTCTTGATTTAGGGAATTGGATCTGTGCTCCAGTTCCCCGAATTAGGCCTGAATGCCTTCCACAACCCCCCCCCCCCCACCAGGCGCTGTATAATCCTCCGGGTTTAGCGCTTCCCCCTTGATTATAATAATATGTAGCTGTATTTGTCCTGTAGCTCGATCGCTAGCGCACTCAGCTCACACTCTGAGGTCTGGAGATTGTATCTCCGGTACTGCAGGAAAACATTAGGGACGTGTTTCCATAAGACACCTGCTGTCCATGTTCACCTATCAGTTTAAAATGGGTACCTGGGTGTTAGTTGACTGGTGTGGGTCGCATCCTGGGACAAAACTGACCTAATTTGCCCGAAATGCTCAGCATAACAACCGTCTTTCTATATACTAGTAGTATGTCATTAGTGTCAGCTATGGCTTATAATACCTTGTATATGTACTTGTAGTAAATAAAGATATTATTATTATTAAAGGACCCTAATGGAAATAAGTCACTCTGACTTTTTTGGGTTATCCTAGGTTCTCTACACATGATTCTATGTCATCATTGAAGGCTCTTGGCTCATATAATGACTCCAACAACATGCTCATTGGGGAAGCCAGGTATAGATACTCAAAAATTAGGGACAAAGGAATTAATGTACAATTGCTATGGATCCCATCACACATTGGATTACTCCTTCATGATAAAGTTGATATGTTAGCCAAGAAGAGTATCCAGAAGGAGAACGTAGAATATAACTTTGGTATAACTGTGTCTAGCATTAGGAATAATATTAGGAGAGAAGTAAATAATGAAGATGATTGTTATAGGAATGCAGTTAGAAGCCTGAGTAGATCTATAACCCACTATGATAACATGAACGGAGATAAGTATGTTTATGGAGCAACTTGCAATGTGAACAGACTGACTGATGTTGTAGTGGCCAGGCTTAGGCTTGGTTACAAGTACTTCTGGCAGTTTGGGAGACAAACAGATGATGATCAAACTAAATGTAAATTATGTGATCAGGCATATGGTCACTCTCTTGAACACTATGTGCTTAATTGTCCACTTATTGAGGAATACAGAGACAGACAGTATAATAACCTATGTGACATGTCAAGATATCTTATTAATGAAAATAAGATACCAGATATACTAAGCAAATTTCCTAAATTTGCTTGTAACAGATAAGTGAACTATAGATATGTAGATATAAATCCATATGTATTCGTTAACCCTTTGGGGCCTAGTTCCTGGGCCTTTTGTGTATCCATATGCTCTCGCGCTACCGTCCACAGGATGGATATGGGGTGCACAATAAACTAGCCACTTCGGTGGCAAAATCTAAAATCTCTACACATATGCTGCTATGTATGATAATTCTATGTAACTGTATTTGTGTATACCTGAATAAACTTACTATCTGAATAAACTTACTTGTTGAGTGACGGTAGTGTGGACGCGGCTCCTCACTCGTCTTCCACAACATAACTTCTCCACCAACAACAAGCAAGACAGATTATCTTTTGCAGGAGAAGAAACCTCCAAGTAAACTGCACGTAACCAGAGGGAGAAAATCTCTCACGACTTCTCCGTCCATTATGGTGTTCTTAGAAGCATTTGAGGATTTTGAGAAGGCAGCCGAGCGTATATATCTCAACGCCCCAATGAGGGTAAGTGAAGGCTGGTGGTGACCTCACACTGGAGATGTTATAAGTAAGTTTATTCAGGTATATACAAATACAGTTACATAGAATTATCATACATAGCAGCATATGTGTAGAGAACCTGGGATAACCCAAAAAAGTCAGACAGAGTGACTTATTTCCATTGGGGTCCTTTTACCTTATTATTATAATATAAAGGTTATAATATTTTCTTATTATTCTATAATGAAGATAACATCTTATTATCATACTAAAAAGACTGTCTACTACACGAGGGTCATTAAGACTATCTACAATACGAGGGTCATTACTAGGAATAAGGTAAAATTTACACGTATGTTAGCTAAAAAATAGAAAATCATTCCCCTCCCTTTCTGTAGCTACATTCATCAGACACCTTTTGGCACTCTTCTTGAACTGGTTCATGCTATGACTGGCTTTGACATGTGCGGGTAGTCTGTTCCATTCCTTTATTGCAGTACAATAAAAGGTGTTTGAAGCCTGGCCACTGACTGTGGCTACTACAAAGTTGTGCTCTCTCCCCTTAATACTATGATTGCTTTGGTTCCCAACCTTGACAAAATTGACAGCAAGATATTCTGGACACTGTTTGTGAGCAATTTTATAAACATGATTTAGCTTCAGTTGTTTTACTCTGTCTTCAACATTCAGCATATCCAACTGCTGTAATTCATCCTGGCCTACATGTTCTCTTGGGCCCAGCCCCAGGATGAATCTTACCAGGATGTTAGTAAGCTTATTTAGGTATAGATATACATAAATGGTTACACATTATCATACATAGTAACTTATGTGTAAAGTACTAAGGATAATCCAAAAAAAAGTCAGAGAATTATTTCCAATGTGACTTACTGCCTTAGGTTTTATTTTTTAGGTAAGCCATATAAAAATGTTCTGCTGTATATATAAATAATTTATTTTCATCACTGAATACCCCTCAAGGTAGGTTCCTTGATGCTGGTGAGGGGCTCTTGATCTAGGGAATTGGATTTTTGCTCTAGCTTCCTGAATTGAACCTGAATACCTTCCACATCCCCCCACAAGAACTGTATAATCCTACGGGTTTAGCGCTTCCACCTTGATTATAATAATTATAATCACCACTGAATATTAAGACATTGTATATAAAAATTATAGATGTACCCTTCAAGAAGGATGCTTGATGCTGGGAGGTGGAGCTACCTTCTCTACTGGGACTAGTCCCAAATTTACACATGAAAATCACTCCTTGCGAAAGCAAAAGACTCGGCTGGAGATACAACATCCCCCCAATGAAAAGCAGGGGTGCCATGAGTACACTAAGAGACAACACAATAAGTGTCAGGTGCCCAAGACTGTTCAATTGTCTTCCAGCATACATTTGGGGGATTACCAATAGACCCCTGGTTGTCTTCAATAAGGCACTGGACAGGTACCTAAAGTCAGTACCTGACCATCCGGGCTGTGGTGTGTATGTCAGCTTGTGTGCAGGCAATAGTAACAATGTGGTTGATCAGGCCCTGATCCACTACGAGGCCTGGTCACAGACCAGGCCCTGGGTGCGTTAACCCTTGGAACACCCTCAAGGTATGCTCCAGATATACTCCAGGTCACCAAAGGTAAAGGATATGATGGCATCTATTTATGCCTGTGTAAAAATAAAACTGTAACAGGTACCCCAATGAAAAAAAGTCACTTTTACTTTATTGGGTTATCCTAGGTTAAATTCTACATAAATTTATCCATAACAGCATTGTAAAAGTTGCAAATTATGTAGGAGGGCCAAATAAAAATTTACTTGTTAACCACATCAAGCATTTATAAAAATGGCTAATATATGTTTTGCTTATACATGTATTTCAAGAATCCCATTGAAAATGTCATAGACTTTATTGGGTTATCCTAGGTTAAATATACAGTTTACTATTTTGTGACAACAGCACCAACTGTGATACCATCAGCCATGATTGCCACTAGCATTGACACCACCTCCAGCTTTGACACCAATGGCATATGTACATCCACAGACGAACTGAATGTGGAACTGACAAGAAAGTACAGTGCTTCATTTGTACCAAATGTTTCACAATTTGATGATGGTAATAGTGGAATTCAGCCAGATTGTCCAGTAATAGATAATTCCACTGAACTTCACTACTTTCATTTATTCATAGAGACACACTGATGACTATTATTGTTGCCTAAATAAATAACTGTTACAAGTACACAGTGGCTGACTTTTATGTTTCACTGAAATCACGACTTTGAAAGTGGGACACTATTGTTGCTGAGGTGTATCTCTTCTTGGGAACACTAATACTGATACCATACACCCATAAGAATAATACTTATAAATAATAATTATAAATAAATAAATAAATAAATAAATACTGTATGTCTAAGTATTGGAGTGCAGACATTCATGTATATAATCAGGATACAACTTGGAAAAATTAACCGTTTCATTTACAGTATTAAAGAATAAATGCACTACATACAGTATATACCTTTTTTTGTAGAGGTTAGTTTGTTTTTGGTGATTTTTAATAGTATTCAATTTTTAGTAGAGCTTTTGTAAATTGCAAGGGGGGAGTGAAGTAGGGATGACATTAATACTGTATTTTTGTATTTGAGATACTAGAAGTGTTGCAGTGTAAAGTAAATAAGATAGAGGACAGACAAATGTAAACAGCACTTTTGTGAAAGTAGTGTCCAGTTCATGTAATAATACTGGCTCAGTGTGGTGCCAACATGTTACATCAGCCTCGTAATCCTCACATAAAATAAAACGCTGCATAGGTTAAAATTTTATGTATTGCATACCTAAACAAACTCTTCACATTAATAAAAATGCTCTTACTAAACATGTTTACATTTACTATCTGTATACATGTATGGAAGCAATACAAACTTTACTATACAGTGGACCCCACAAATTTGCAGTTCCAAATTCGCGGATTTTTCCTTAGAACCTAACTAATAATTGTTCGTGAAAATCCCTGCAAATTCGCAGAATTTGGGGAGGCCTTTTTCGTGGTAATATATAATTTTTTATGCGTTTTAATGCTAAATATTAAGAAAAATATTTAATAATTTTGTAACATAAATATTAACGTAAATTCAGCAATATTTCCATATAAAATACACTAATTCATCATCATCATCATCTTCAATTATTCATTATTGGCAAGTACCTGTACATTTAACTTCACTTTTACTAAATTAAATTATTACCGTATATTTACTGTATGTATACCAAAGAAAATGGGGCTGCATGAATTACAGTACATATTGGGGTAACATCGGTATTTCACATTCTAGCACTGCAGAAGACATAGCAGTATGGGTTTATCTTTACATTCTTTTTTTTTTTTAAGGGTGATGTATGAAGCCGAGTCTGAAATTAAATCAAAGTGTTTTGGGGACATATTTAGGGTTTAAACTGTAAAAATAGGCATTTATAGGCATTTTTTTTTTAACCGCGTCCAGAATTCGTGGTTTTTCCAAATTCGCAGGTGGTCTTGGAATGTAACCCCCGCGAATTTGGGGAAACTACTGTACTGCTTTTATTACTATTATTTCTTTAATCCCAGGAAGATGTAGGTAGTTCCTTGTGTCAGAAATCTTTCCTACAAGAATTGACCGAGGACACTGAATCTGCACTCTCTAGAAAGGCATAAAATTAAGGAGGATATGATTGAGGTGTATAATTGGAAGACTGGAATAAATGAAGGAGGATGTAAATAACATGCTAAAAAATATTTAACCAAGACAGGACTCACAGCAGTGGGTATGTGATATTAAATGAACACATCTTCCATGGAGGGGTGAAATGCTCTTGTTGCCTACAGTGATACAGTTCATGCAGGTTATACAAATTAATGCAATTGCACGTTTTTCACAATCCATTTAGATCTGTGTGTATTTACCTCTAGACATTTGGTAAGATTCATTGTGACAGTCTGGTTCATTTCTCAACATTCTAATACCGAGTACAGTGTTAATTTCAACAATCCTATCACTGATACTAGAAATACCAAGCTCCTTTCTCATATTAAGAACCTTTGTAGATTTGGGACACCCAAGAATAGTACTGAGAGCTTTATTCTGCATTAACTCCAAGGGTCAGAGAGAACTTTCCCTAGCTAATATCAACATGGGAGCAGCATAATCAATTAAGGACCTAACATAGGCTATGTACATCATTCTCATGATTCTCACATTAGCACCATAGTTGGGGTTGTAGCCAGCAACAGCTTTGAGAGCATTTAGCCTGTCTTTGCATTTCTTATTTAGTTGTGGTATAGTGGATTTGTTAAAGGGTACATCTACACCAAGATATCTGTAGGCTTTAACGTAGCTAATGATTTCACCCTGCAAATAGATGGGTGGGGGATGTCAGTTTGCTTGTTAATATCTTTGTTTTAGATGAAGATATTATGAGGCCTAGTCAATTACAAATTGCTTGAACTTCACTAAGAATGGTGCTCATCTTCTTATGCCCTGTTGTATGTATCATGATGTCATCAGCATAGCTTATAGCTATATGTTTAGGTGAGGCAGGTAGAGCATTTAGGAGAGCATTAATCAGAATATTAAATAGCATGGGACTAAGAACTCCTCCCTTTAGTCTCACTTCTAAAGCCTTGATAAAAGACAGAGGATACTCTATTTGACAGGTATCCTATTATCCAGCAGAGTAAGCTACCACCAATATTCATTTTGGCTAGTTCATGTAGTATAACGGTTCTGTTCGCAATATCAAATGCAGATTTTAAATCAAGAAAAGTGGTAAAACTAGTAGAGGTGTGTGCAGTGAGAAAGGTGGAAATACAGTTCTGCACACTTTTACCTTTCGTGAACCCATAGAGGTAGGGGGAAAGTTGGTGTCTGTTTCTTTTAGTACAGTCTGTTAAGTATCATTCTTTCAAAGGTTTTACAAAGACAACTAGTTAAGGAGATCGGTCTAAATGTATCAGGCTGTTGGGGCTTAGGGATAGGCACAATGAGACTATTGGTCCAGGAAGTGGGAAAAGAACGCCCTCAGTGTAACTGAGATTATACAGTGCCAGCAAAGGGTTATCAGGCACATGTCTTAGAGTTCTGAGAATATCATAGGTTATACCATCCTCTCCAGGAGCAGTTGATCGACCTTTAGTTAATGCATTATCTAATTCATAATTGGTGAAGAGACAATCACTCTCATCAATATTTTGGCTCATAAAATTAATCAGTTTCAAACATTTCTTCAGAAGTACTCTCTAAATTTTTTCTAATATGAGATGGAAGGTTTTCATGCCTGGATGTTTTGGACCAGTCATTTATGAGGTCATTTGCTTTTTCAAGAAGAAAGGGATGAACAACATTGCCAGTCTTTTTCCTGGTTATTTTATTTATACCTTTTCCAAGCCAAACTTAAAGGGATGGACTTATTTAATCCACTAACAAATTGTTCCCATTCCTGTTGCCTAAGTCCTGCAAGTCCCTCCAAAGAAGCTCATTGCTAGTAATCCCTTCCTTAAATCGCTTGTTAAAGCAACTGCTCAAGAAGAAATTTCTCGCCTAGCTGGTTTAGTAATAAGTTATCACAAGTTATATACACTGATGGATCTAAACAGGAGTCTTCTGGCAGGGCTGCATCTGCTCTTGTTGCCACCTCCCTAGTTAAGAATGATAATAAATTTGTTGAGTTAGGCATAAGAATTAACAACTGGGCGTCTACACTGCAAACTGAATTGTTTGCAATCCTAATGGCGCTAAAGCTAACCTATGACACCGAGCTTGACTCTATCATCATTACTGATTCTATGTCATCATTGAAGGCTCTTGACTCATATTATGACTCCAATAACATGCTCATTGGAGAAGCCAGGTATAGATACTCAAAAATAAAGGACAAAGGAATTAATGTACAGTTGCTATGGATCCCATCACACATTGGATTAGTCCTTCATGATAAAGTTGATATGTTAGCCAAGAAGAGTAGCCAGAAGGAGAATGTAGAATATAACTTTGGTACAACTGTGTCTAGCATTAGGAATAATATTAGGAGAGAAGTAAATAATGAAGATGATTGTTATAGGAATGCAGTTAGAAGCCTGAGTAGATCTATAACCCACCATGATAACATGAATGTAGATAAGTATGTTTATGGAGCAACGTGCAATGTGAACAGACTGACTGATGTTGTAGTGGCCAGGCTTAGGCTTGGTTACAAGTACTTCTGGCAGTTTGGGAGACACAGATGATGATCAAACTAAATGCAAATTATGTGATCAGGCATATGGTCACTGTCTTGAACACTATGTGCTTAATTGTCCACTTATTGAGGAATACAGAGACAGACAGTATAATAACCTATGTGACATGTCAAGATATCTTATTAATGAAAATAAGATACTAGATATACTAAGCAAATTTCCAAAATTTGCTTGTAACAGATGAGTGAACTATAGATATGTAGATATAAATCCATATGTATTCATGTTAACCCCTTGGGGCCTAGTTCCTGGGCCTTTTGTGTATCCATATGCTCTTGCGCTACCGTCCACAGGATGGATATGGGTGCACAATAAACTAGCCACTTCGGTGGCAAAATTTAAAAAAAAATCTAACAGCAGTGGGTTCAAGTTGGAAAAATTTAGATATAGGAAGAATATAGGAAAGCATTGGTTTGGTAATAAGAGTTGTGCATGAGTAGTGTCATTGAAGCAAAAACCTTGTTTAGCTTTAAAAATAGGTTTGACAAATACACAAGCAGGTGTAGGTGGGTGAGTTAGGCCTACCTAGCATCATCCAGTAAATAGGCCTGAGTGGGTGTGACTTGGAGCTGCCTAGCATGGGCCAGTAGGCCTGCTGCAGTGCACCTTCTTTTGTTCAACATCAAGGCAACCCCTTCCCCCTTCCTCAGTGGAGAGACATGTCAGGATGCTGCCAGTTGGTGGAAAAAACACAAATGCAGTGAAGTCATGTACAGTGGAACCTCGGTTTTTGTATGCCCTAGTTTTCGTAGGATTCGGTTTTTGACGACTTTTTTCGTCGAAATTTTGTCTCAGTTTTTGTACATCTGCTTGGTTTTCATAGAGTTGATAATGGTCTGCTGTACCAAACACGTCTGCCTGCCCGCACTCACACAAAGCATCTCACTTGTTCTGACTCAGTCTGGCTTTGTTTCTCGTTGAGTGAGCATTGTGCGAATGTGGCTTGTTTAGTGATTAAGGACATGTGTGCAAACTGGAATGAGTTGCAAAGTTTTGTGGAGAAATATCACCCTAACAAACCTGTTGCAAGCCGTGTCTGTAACATGTTCAATGACAATGCCCTGTCTCATTTTAGGCAAATCTTAAAAAGACGCCAGAAACAGACCTCTGTGGACAGATTTTTTGTGCAACAGGGGTCCAGTGACTCAAGCTGGTCCTAGTGTCAGTAAAAGACAAAGAAGAGAAGTAACCCTGGATAGGACCTTGATACCTGAAGTCCTTATGGAGGGGGAATCCCCTTCCAAACAATAGTCTCTCCTCCTCCCTCTCCCCTCCTCGCTGTCTTCCATATATACCAACAAGAGTCTTCAACAAAGGTAAAAGTGATGTTAAATGTTCATTTATCCATTTCATTAGTCATTTATATTTATTTCTCATTGTTTTCTGTATGTAAAACTATAGTTATTCTCTATAAAATGTATTTTCTGTTAATATTTTTGGGTGTCGAATGGATTAATTGGAGTTACGTTATTTCTTATGGGAAATATTGTTTCAAATTTACGTACAATTCGGTTTTCATCAGACTTTCTGGAATGAATTAATCACAAAAACCGAGGTTCTACTATATTTGTACATTTGACCTAACAATTGGGTTTTATTAAGCACCATTCAAATGTGTGTAACATTGTACATATAAAGTACTTCACTGCATTTTTCTTTTTCATCACTCTCCCTTGAAGGATTTGCTCTATTAGATTGTTTTCCCCATAATTCAGTACAACAAAGATAGGGCAATATTAAATTGTAGCTCAAGCACACTCTTTGCTTTATTTATTTAATTTTGACATTACTTATTATTTTTGCATATACTGTACAGTACTAGGTTCAGTTGAGCTTATTAAAAAGCACAATATTTTTGTGTCATTGTTTTACAGAGAAATTGTAGTTTACACTGTACAGTATGCGGTATAACATCATTTTTCCTTTTGTGCAGACTCGATGTGTAATGAAGTATAACCATAGTAACAGCTGCCTCAAGGTGAAGGTAACTGATGATCATGTGGTAAGTAGTTATGTTTAACACTGTATATCATAGAGTAGTAGCTAGGGAATTCCAGGAAAAAACTGCCAATATTTTGGGATTTAACATCCTCCCATCTCCAAATCTCTTCATATTTGGTATTCAAGATTGTCCTTTGTTCTAAACTTGAGTCTGTAAATCTTAACTCGTTCTGGCCTAGAGGTCATGAGCTATGACATAGGATGATAATTACACCTTTGTGTAATCATCATCCTATACATGTACTTTAAAATAAAATACAGTACAGTATATATACAGTGGTCCCTCGCTTTTCGTAGTTCTCGGCAATCGTAAATTTCGGCAATCATAGGCATATTTTCGTATAAACATGGGCTTGCTTTTCATAGGTTGACTCGCGAGTCGTAGTTCATCCGGGATGCATACCCACGGCGTGAGCCGTGGCGGCAGCCAGTCTGGCATTGTTTATCAGTGAGCGAAGGTCCCCTCACGTGCTCCAGCGAAATATTTCATAATATTCCATTTATTTTAGTGCTTGCAAGTACTAAATAAGCTACCATGGCTCCAAAGAAAGCTCCTAGTGCCAAGCCTGTGGTAAAGAAGGTGAGAAATACGATTGAATTTAAGAAAACCATCATTGAACAATATGAAAGTGGTACAAGTGTGGCCAAACTGGCCAGGATGTATAAGAAACCCTACACAACCTTATGTTCCATAGTGGCCAAGAAAAAGGAAATAAAGGATGCTGTTGTTGCAAAGGGAGTAACTATGCTGACAAAAATGAGATCACCAGTACTCGAAGAGGTTGAGAAGTTATTATTGGTGTGGATAAATGAGAAACAATTAGTAGGAGATACTCTTATGACTTTGATTATTTGTGAAAAGGCTAGGCAGTGCATGAAAGATTTGGTAAAGAAATTGCCTGCAAATAGTGTGATGTGAGTGAATTTAAGGCCAGCAAGGCTGGTTTGAGAGATTTAAGAACCGTACTGGCATACACAGTGTGGTAAGGCATGGTGAGGCTGCCAGTTTGGACCACAAGGTGGCTGAAAAATATGTGCATGAATTCCAGGAGTACATAGAGGCTGAAGGACTGAAACCTGAACAAGTGTTCAATTGTGATGAAACAGGCCTCTTTTGGAAGAAAATGCCAAAGAGGACCTTCATTACACAAGAGGAAAAGGCAATGCCAGGACACGAGCCTATGAAAGACAGGCTGACGCTAATGTTCTGTGCTAATGCTAGTGGGGATTTCAAAGCAAAGCCATTACTAGTGTACCATTCTGAAAATCTCAGAGTGTTCAGGAAAAACAATGTTATGAAGAATAAATTGTGTGTGTTTTGGAAATCTAATAGTAAGGCATGGGTCACGAGGGAAATTTTTGTCGAGTGGTTCAATGAAGTGTTTGGCCCTAGTGTGAAGGAGTATCTCCTGGAAAAGAAATTGGATCTCAGGTGCCTTCTAGTAATGGACAATGCACCTGCTCATCCTTCAAACTTGGATGACCTAATTTTCGAGGAGTTTGGGTTCATCACAGTAAAGTTCTTGCCCCCGAATACCACTCCTCTCCTCCAGCCCATGGACCAGCAGGTCATTGCAAACTTTAAAAAACTCTACACAAAAGCAGTGTTTCACAGGTGCTTGACTGTGACCACAGACACTCACTTGACCCTAAGGGAATTTTGGAGAGAACACTTCAGCATCCTCCATTGCATAACCCTTATAGGTATGGCTTGGGAGGGAGTGACTACCAGGACTTTGAACTCTGCCTGGAGAAAATTGTGGCCAGATTGTGTCGACAAGAGGGATTTTGAAGGGTTTGGGACTGACCCTGATGAGCCTGTCTGTTGTAAAATCAATTGTGGCACTGGGGAGTTCCATGGGGTTGGATGTGAGTTTGGAGGATGTGAAAGAATTGGTGGAAGACCACAACGAAGAGCTCACCACTGAGGAGCTGCAAGAGCTTCAGCAGGAAGAGCAACAGATCGCAGCTCAGAATCTTGCTGCAGAGGAGGAAGAGAGATGGAAGAAGGTGCCTTCTTCAGAAATTAAGGAGATTTTTGCAATGTGGGGTAAGATGGAAAGATTTATGGAGAAACATCACCCTAACAAGGTTGTTGCAAGCCATGTTGGCAACATGTACAGTGACAAAGTCTTGGGCCATTTTAGGGAAGTGTTAGAGACGCCAGAAACAGAGCTCTCTGGACAGTTATTTTGCGAGACAGGACTCCAGTGACTCTCAAGGTGGTCCTAGTGGCATTAAGAAACAGAGAAGAGAAGCAACCCCAGAAAAGCAATTGCTACCTGAGGTGTTGCTGGAAGGGGATTCCCCTTCCCAACTATAAACAATCCCCACTCTCCTCCTCCAGTCTCCCATACACTAAGAAGAATCTCCAATAAAGGTAAGTGTTATGCTGTTAATGCTTCATTCATCATTTCCCATTGTATTGTTTATGTACTACATGTATATTTCATGTAAAAAAATTTTTTGTTTTAATACTTCTGGGTGTCAGGAATGGATTAATTATATTTACATTATTTGTTGAGAAATGGCATTACCAGCTAAGTTTAAAGAGTTTGTACGTAACTTAGAAAGACAGCTCATCGCCTGCACAGCCGCCCCTGCAGACGAGGTCTTGAGAAGCTGTCGAAGTCATCTCTCAACGGGCTGTAAAGAGTTATAATTTGTAAGATTATAAATTACCCCTAGGGGGTGTTATATCAGCATATTTCATACACTGATGGCTGACAAACTTACTTGTGTGGACTCAAAAGTCTGCCCCTTACTGCCGACTATAGGTTGATTACAAACTCCTTGCGACTCAAGAACTGCGCAGTCCCCCGTACTACAAGAAATTCGTAACCTACCTTGCTCTTGTAGCGTGAGCTATGGTGTTCTTCACACCTTCGACAGATATCGGTGACTTGATAGAAGCTGAAGTGTCCTTGGATGTCCACGTCTTCCATAGTCTAGGAATACGCACACTGGTACACTGTTCCACAAGATTTGTCTTTATTGTTCACGATCTTATCACTAAAGAAGCTGATCACACTTTTCTTAAGTGTTTATTGTGTTTTATGAGACACTTTGTTCACACTAACGCACAGATCGTTCTTTGCTGGTTATCCTGGCGTCAGTGTCACTCTCGGTAGAGTCAAAAGTAATCTGAAGACGCCACAGCGCCCCATGCCGTCACTCCCCTAGCACAAAGAAAAAGCTGACCTAGTACTTTTGCTTCCTTGCCACTTCCTCGATGAAGCAAAGCAGAATGTTTGATTCTTGCTGTCTTAAGCATAGACAACAATGTCCACTATCTTTACCATGGTAACAAAGTGGGAGCAGGATTTTCCTTAATTGTCCTGCCAAAGTAAGAGATGTACTGTCTCTTATTAAAATACACTCTGCAACACTGGACTGCAAGGAGCAACGGTCACTTGACCACGTCGCATACTCGTACGGCATCTGTGATCAATTACTCACTGTAGCAGTAAACAAGATGCTTGCCCCTTCTGAGAGGGCTGGGCCCCTCAGGGCTGAAAGGGTTGAAAGGGACTGAAGGGGGCTGATACCCCCCTCCTGGAGAAAATTTCTCCACATTATTTCTTATGGGGAAAATTGATTCGCAAATCGTAAATTTCGTTTCTAGTAGCTCCTCCAGGAATGGATTAATTACGAAAAACAAGGGACCACTGTATATTTTTTAACATGGCTGTCTCCCACCTAGGCAGGGTGACCCAAAACTGAAACACTTTCACCATCATTCACACTATTACTATTTGGAATGCACAGCATATATGGATTCCATTCATGCAAGTTTTGATCCTCCAAGTTAAAAATTTAATGTATGATCTCTTGATGAGGAAAATGTATGCAAGGAAGGATATTCACTGTTTTGAAATAAATGTAAAAAGCAAAAATAGTGCATGACAAGGCCTTCATTCTGGATGCACTTTTTCAGTTGCATTGACATTCACTGTATAGAATATCTGTATAAGAGAGCTAATTATACAGCTTAAGTTCTGGTGGCCATTAACCCCCAACATCATGCTTGTATGAATGCTTGTACAGTACAGTGTTCAAAACATTGTTCTAATAAATATACATAGAAATTTACAAATATTCAAAGAATTTGCTATACATTATATTCCACATGTTAGAGGTAAACTTATGAATATTATTTAGAATTTTCAGATATTTTGAAAAGGAGACAGCCAATCTACCATGGTAATCCATAGACTTGAGTCCATAGTTATGAATGAACAGTATGTGCTACAATACAGCCTCTCCTCACTTAGCGACATGCTCGTTTACCGGCGACTCGGACTTATGACAGGTTCTCTGACCAGTATGCATAACTAAATAATGTATATTAGAGCTGATTTTCTCTATTCTGATTATTATAATATACAGTACATTATAAACATTTAACCCTTTCGGGGTCCGTCCCATAGATCTACAGCTTCACGTAGTGTCCAAACCGTAGATCTATGCCAAAATTCTAGCGCCGTCAAATTTAGCGCGAAAGCGCTCATAGGCCTACATGTGAGAGAACGGGTCTGCGTGGTGGGTGTGCGCCATAAACAAAAAATCTAGGCGCCCGCATAGCATTGTGGGAACGCCGGCTCGGTTACCTTTGTTCACCATGCCTCGTCGCAAGTCAGCTCTCACTCCCCGGAAAATTGGGACTCTCCTCTTCCTATCTTGATAGTTCTGACACTGATGGAAGTAGAAATGAAGACGAATTCTACGGCTTTGATCAGTTAGTGACCGAAAGGAATGACCAGGATATTGATAATAGTGCAGAAAACCCTGACAATCCTCAACCTTCTACCTCTGGTGTGGGCACTCGTGACTCACGGTCGGTTGTGCCTCAACGCAAGAGAAAACTAATATTTTCGCGTGGCCCGGCCTCTGACTTCAGTAATGATGATGATAGTGACGTGGATTGTGATTTTATTGCGCTCGACGGTCATTCGAGTAGTGATAGTGAGGAATCATATTCACCAGTGAAGAGTCGGTATG